GTCCTTCCATCCATTTGGAAATTTGCTGTCCAAAACACCATTTAAAACACTGCTTTTCTTTGTTTTCCATCCAATCCCATGAGAACTTTTTCCCGATGAAGGGCATCTTGTAAAAGGACTCATTTTATTATTCATGTTTCTGTCCTTCACTTTTTACCAGATACTCTGCTTTAATTAAGCATGAGTCTATAAGATGCCCGTACATTCATTTCTTTTTTATTTCTTCTGGCCGACAACTTTAACATAGCAGGGAAAATACACTTCATCTACATTTTAATCCAAGAGAGCCTTAGGCCAGAGGACCAAAGGGGTTTTGCTGCTTTGACTTTTTGGCTCCACCCTTAGACTAGTACATAATTATTTCATAGCTAGTGTGGGATGTATGGAAGCCATCATTTCTGCAAACAAACTTGTGATTATCTTGGTAGATAGGAATCATTTACTGAGTCTCATACCCTTACATTTAGAGGTGCTTGTATCAAGGGGACTACTTTAAAGCTCATCTTGGCCAACATTCTGAGACCTTAATTCTTTGAATAATGAAGCGGTGGTACTTCGCTGGAGTTATTTACTTAGATTGTGCTGAAAGACTAGCAGTTGAGACAGTTATATCTATGTACAGTACAAATTCTTGGGCTAAATGATGATAGAAGAGCCAGAGCAACGAAAAGCCTAACAAGGTCTGCCACAGACTTCTGTCCTTCCATCCATTTGGAAATTTGCTATCCAAAACACCATTTAAAACACTGCTTTTCTTTGTTTTCCATCCAATCCCATGAGAACTTTTTGGAAGTTTATGGAAATTCAATACAAACTACAACTTTGGGTTGAGCTAGTCTGACCCTAATCTGTGTTGTGCTGTCCCAAACTTAAACGATGTAAGAAGAGAATTTTCATGTTCCATCAAACCCAAGACTGCTTTGAATTCAGAAGAGCCCCTGAAATCACCGAAATTCTGATACAGGCTAGTTAACTCTTATGTGTAATGCTTGGAATGAGAAGTGCTTAAAATTCTGAATAATGTTAGATCTTTTAAAATATTTGTTTATACCATGTGAAGATGTATGGAAGATGCGTTCCAACTCTAAACACTGTGTTTGTTTCACATACACCTTACAGTATATCCTTATATTAATTATACACAATATTTTTAATGTGCCTGCAACCTATCATATAAGGTCAGTAGAATTTTCCACCTATCTCATTATATTTGTGGTAAAAAAATTTTTAGACTTTGGACAACTTCATATTTGAGATTTTTTGAAGTAGGCAACAATTAGCTTGTAGTCCTCAAATAAAAAACAAGATCATTGGTGGCTGGGTAGATAGGGCCTGAGTTCAATCCCCAGTTCTGCCAATAAATAAATAAATAAAGATAATTAAAGAAAAAAAGAGGCCACAGAGATAGCTCAGCGGTCTAAGTGCTTGCCTAGGCAAGCCCTAAGATTGATACAAGCCCCAATACTGGGGTTCCATCCCCAGTATTGTATGTTGTGCTGACCCAACCTGGGTGTGCTGAGCCAGCCACCAAGACCAGGTGAGTTGCTGCATGCCTGTAATTCCAGCGCTTGATACATGGGAAGATCACTATGAGTTTAAGCTGCACAGTGAGACCCTGCACCAAATATGAAAAAAAAAAAAAAAAAAAAATTGCCTAAGTGGATCCAAAAGAAATTTAATTCGCTTTGTAGCAAATTCTCCCTGCTAACTCATTAAATTGGGACGCAGAGATGATAAAAAGAAGAGAGTTACAAGGTCAAATTATTGCACACAGAAGCACCTTTATTCAGCATCACCACGATTTATTTTTCCTAGTATTTTTTCCTCAGATGGAAAAATAATTTCATCAAGAAAACAGATGTGTCTGCCAAAGTGAATTTCATTGTTTTAATGATTTTCTTGAGAAAAGAAAAAGTCAGTTCTGCACTACAACATTGTTCTGCCTCTTTTCTGCACTTTCTTGGATGACTTATTTTAATAAAAAAAAAATCTGTGTGCAGAAAACAAGGTATTTTCCTCAAATAGAGTCATTATATTTTATTGCTGCTTTGTTTAGTATATATTTTTCTCAATTGGGAAAAAAACCTAGGTGACAAAAATAATAACCAGAGAAGTAGTTTACATGATCACGACATTTAAATTGCTGTCAAAAGAAAAAAAATGTAAAAAAATTTAAATGTGAAATATTGTATAACTTCAAAAAAACTTACCTCAATTGTCTACCACTTATCATGTACTACAAGTGAACTTCAACTTTCTAAATAGGATTATAGTCCTTTATTATAAGCCCCTAGTGGTACTATGGTATACATTTTAAAAAAGGCTACTACAAAAATTTTCTTTCCTCTTTGTTTTTGCCTATTGCGTACTTAAGCTATACATAATTTTGAATAAAAAGCCTACAGTAGGTATAAATGCAATAATTAACTGATCCTGTTTGCTGATGTCTTGTTCATGTTCCTCAGAAGGTGGCAGCTTTAATCCAGCATCTTCTCCTGCTTCTTGCCTTCCTTTTTCTTCTTCTTAGATTCTGCTGCAATGGGAAACAGAGAGAAGAGAAAGTTAAGCACCCAGATATTCATCTATCGGGAGGGAAAGTCACTTTATTTATAATTGGCCAGTAGCTGCAAGATAACATCAAGAGAAAAGTTGTTTGTGTGTGTGTGTGTGTGTGTGTCTGTGTGTGTGTGTGTCTGTGTGTGTCTGTGTGTCTATGTGTGTGTCTGTGTGCTCCCTGTTGCCAGGAAAGCACCTATAAAATGAAACAGAGCACAGCTCCCTCTGGCTGACACTTACAAATGCCTGTTGTCTTGCTGATCATTTCTACTTGGCGTGCAAAATCTTACTTGAATGTCTTGCTTTGAAAACAAACTCAGCAGGCAGTCATCTCTGTGAGAATTAGCCAGGTTGCTGCCCAGCCAAGAGCTTAAAGAACTCTTCTTAGCCCCTCTCTTCTCACAGAACTGTTTAGAAGAATTAGCACTTTCTTTCTGAGCAAGCTCTCAAATCCTGGAGCCAGAGTGCTAGGATTTAAATGTAGGCTGCTTCACTAAGTTACAGAGTTCTACCCCTTTGGGTGCCCCATCTGCTTATATATTCAGTTAGCTACTCACGGAGCAGCTGTGTACCCCATGTAGCTCATTCTAGACATTTCCTAGAGGCCTCTAACCTAGCAGGAAGCCAATAGAAGGTGCCGACTGGTGTTCAACTAAACAAGTAAACTTCTGGGGATTCAAATTAAAATTCTCATCCTCTGCTACCCAGTCATCTTGTCTTTTCTTTTTTCTAAGGAAAAATGTGATAGCGAGCAGGATACTGAAAGACAAAAATGGTAAGAATAGCTGGGCTAAGGAGTGAAGGGACACTGCCCATGGTTCCTGTACTGCCAGCCCCCCTGGGTCCACAGCAATGGCAGCACTGTGCTGTGCAGGCACAGGCTCTAGAGCCAGAGTGCTAGGATTTAAACGTGGGCTGCATCTTTAAGTTACTGTGGGACTTTGGGACTGGGAATTCACCATTTGAGTTTCAGATTCATCACCTTTAAAAATATCTTTTATTTATTTACTTGGGATTTGTAGTGTCCCTCCTGTCTCAGCCTCCCCAGCCCTGGGATTACAGGTGTGTACCACCATAGCCGGTTTCAGTGGCCAGCTCGGCACACCCGAGATTCTGGGGCTGGCAAGGCATGCGGTACTGGAGATCGAACCCGAGTCCTTGCACTTGCCAGGCAGGCACTTAGACTGCTGAGCTATCACCCCAGCCCTTCATCACTTTTGAATGGACATATGAATAATATCCCAACATCTGATGGCAAACATAGGGCAACTATCCGTGTTTATTTAGTTGTGTAAAGTCTACTGAGAACAGAACATGTCAAAATAGCATTTGCTCTATAAAAGTGTGACTTTATCTTCAGTTGATAATAAACAGACACTATTTCTCTGTATGATTAAAATTCCCCATCATCACCAGTGTGAATGATGAAGTGAGCCTGTGACGAGCAGCAGCAGAATATTGGGACAAAAATGACAGCCAACAAGAATTAGGACATTGTTCAGGAGATCACAAAAATCATCTCTAAAAACTGGCTTATGGGGAGGGAAGACATGACAGACACGTCAATCAGAAATATTGAATGTTAGCACATGCTTTCAAGAAATCTTAAATTTTTGTTCTTGATTCTCATTTTTTAATTTTTTTAAATTACTTTAAAGACAGTATATTAATAATTGATACAACATTAGAAATGGTACACATTTAGAAGACCAAGATGACAGGTGTTTCAAGCATGGTTTTAATGTTACACATTGCTGTCTTCAATGTAGTTACTCTGCATTTTCTTTGAAAGTAAATAAAGAATTACAATCTTGCATAACTATATCTGTTAATCTGAGCAACAGAACTGATGATAAACATAGATAATATATCAATCACTGTTAATCCTCTATTCTTGTTTTGAAAATCTGTAATGTATGTATTGTTCCAAGTTACTCTGTTTCTGTCTTCGCTTTTGTTTTTCTTGCTCTTGTTTGTACTGTTCAAAATAAAAGAAAATTATAATTTAAAAAAAGAAATATTGTACGTTTTTCAAATCACACTTAAGTAGAACTAGAATCCTTTACTTCTTATTTATTCTCTTCAACAGTCGTTCCAAAGTCCACTGCACACTGGTAAAAGGGTGTTGGTGTTCTTTATCATTTCCCCCAACTTCAGGCATTCACATTTCCCTGGTATGCACTTTGGCCAATGGTTTCTAAAATCCTGAATCCCTGCAGCTCTTCTGTATAACTTTTCTGTTTATGCCTATCCTCGGTCTACCCACTTCTATATTTAAGAGACTTAACCTTTCATTCCCTATATATTTTCTTCTTTTTATGAATGTCTCCTTAACATTAGAAGAGTGAGAACAGCAACTTCATAGTTTAAAGATACCTGTAAGGTCAAAGGAGGCATCTTATTTACTATCTAAACAGCCAAGAGCTTAAATACTTAATGATTCCTAGGCTTTGGTTGACATTTTAAGTGGTACCTGTTTCTTAAGATGATACCCTCAAGGAACAATCTGGAGTGTCAAGTGTGCAGGAACTCTGGGTTATCTTGTTTCAATTTCCTCCTATTCTAGACTGGGGACTCCTCTGTAATCTCCAAGCCTTCATCTCTCGAGTAGAGAATAGTTTGTGGCAACATTTTCATGTTATGGCTTATATCTCTCTATTTCAAACATACGTCTGAATGAATTCTACAGTAATCAGGTGTTTTATACATATTTATTTCATAAAACATGAAGTTATGTTGAGTATTGAGTACCATCTTATTAAACTGATGTAGGTTGTCTTCTCAATGAGCACTGGGGCAAGGGGATCGCTCTCCAAATTTCATACTGTTAAAGACATGGACTACTGGACTCTTTTAGAATATTTTGCTGAGTTAACACACCTAGAATATTAAAATAACAGAACTAAACAAAAAAGGGGATGTAGATGAATATCCATTTTGTATCTGTGTATTCAAAATGGTTAGGATACCACAAATGTTGGAGGGGCTGTGGGGAAAAAGGAACCCTTCTCCACTGCTGGTGGGAATGTAGACTGGTGGAACCGTTATGGAAATCAGTATGGAGACTCCTTAGAAAAAT